ACAGATTCTTTACCTCTTTGGTTAGATTTATTCCTAGGTATCTTATGGTTTTGGGTGCAATTGTAAATGGGATCGACTCTTTAATTTCTCTTTCTTCTGTCTTGTTTTTGGTGTATAGGAATGCCACTGATTTCTGTGCATTGATTTTATATCCTGCCACTTTCCTGAATTCCTGTATGAGTTCTAACAGTTTTGGGGTGGAGTCTTTGGGTTTTCCACATAAAGTATCATATCATCTGCAAAGAGTGAGAGTTTCACTGCCTTGGTTTTTATTTACATTATTCTCACCTAGATAAAATTTCCACTGCTTCTTGTTTGAATTCTTCCAATGTTTAGAAACACTGCTTCCTCGGTAACCTTGATCAGACTTGATGTCTTTGAGAAAACCCCACCAGTTGATAATCTAGTACCTGCATCTCTACATAATTAGTTACCAACTAGTCTATCTAAAAACGTGAATAATTGGAAGCACCTGAGTGGCTCAGTTGGTTAACCATCTGCCTTTGGCTCGGGTCATTATCTCAGGGTCCTGGGATCGAGCTAGGCCTCCTAGGGCTCCCTGCTCAGTGGAGAGTGTACTTCTCCCTCTGCCCCTCCCCCCCTCAAATAAATAATTGAAATCTTTTTTAATAATGTGATTCAATTGTTACACTATTTATTTGTTGGTCATGCATGTCTCATCCCCCACACTACAACCTCCTCAGGAATAAAGATTATGTCTTCAACTTTTTTTCTACAGTTTCTCAAGTTCTTCAAGTACCTGGCAAACAGCAAGTGTTTAACAAATGCTGATGAAAATGAAAGGAAAAGTCTACAAATCATTCTCCCTTCCTTTGGGTTTGCTCTCCCTTCCTTAGTCTAACACACATATCACTTCTATATTAAGCTTCTTAGAGGACTGCATGGACCATCTCATTCCCCTGCAATTGTTCCTTCAATGTGTAATGATGAAATATAAATGCCTAAGTAGAGAAATCCAAATACAGAACATATTTCCCATCACTTTGCTATAGCTACCTTATCCTTCCTATTTCCTGAATACCCCCCTTTCTTTCTCAGCTGTGTATCTTTGCTCCAACTTTGCCCTCCATTTAAATGTTCACCCATCAAAGTTCTACCTACTCTAAAAAGCACAACTCAAATGGGCTCTCATTTGTGAAGTGTTCTTGGCACCTAGCACATTCTACTTTTACCTAAGGAACTGAAATAGGTTTCTTATCTTGCCATATTTTATTGAAAATTGAAAGAGGTAAGAAAATACTTCTATACCCTCCTGTCCTTAATGTCTACCATCACCACCACCATCAATAATAATCAAATAATCATAGCGCTTAGGCTATGTATGATATAGTACAATATCTTAGTACGATAAGGCTACTTAGTACGATAATAAATTTTCACTAAATACTAATTGAATAAAATATATTTGTTATCACTTATAAATAATGTATTTTTAGACAGTGCAGAAAGATTATACATATGTAATATTTGCTTTTCTTATACACTTGGTTATGTAAGGGATATATTGGCCGAATATATGTGAGTAGAGACTGCTCCTGCTTACGCTTACAAGTAAAATTTAGAATACTGACTTAATTTTGAATTTTTTCTTCAACACAAACTAGGTTTTGTTTGGGAATTTCTTTGAATGAAAATATTTTAAGTCATGGATCAATAAACATTTTCAAAAATGGTAACGAAAACTGTAACTCATTACTACTTTCTGGAGGTAAATTCAGAAATAATGAAAAGCCTTTGAAATATTATAGCCATTGAGCCAGTGATGCTAATTTTAGTAACTCTCCCAATGCAAAATGAGTGACGTACATACCAATCTATCTATAAAGATATTGTCTGAATAATAAACACAATCTAAAAAATATTTTAAAATTATTTATGTTTATATTAACAAAAAAATGAGACATTAATTCATGTTCTCAGAACAAAAGAGATTTGTGACAAAAATAATAAAGAAATTCAGCAAAGAATACATATCCTAACTTTGTTTAAAGGGGAAAACCAACAAAACATTAAGTGATATAGAACAAAATGATAACAGAAGTTTTTTGTTTTTATTTATTTTTATTTTTTTTAAGTAGGCTCCATGCCCAGTGTGAAGCCCAACTCGGGCCTTGAACTCACGACCCTGAGATCCAGACCTCAGCCGAGATCAAGAGTCAGACACTTAACCAACTGAGCCACACAAGCATCCCAAGAAGTTATTTTTAGAAAAACAGGCTCATTTGTGATTTTAACTTTATTTTGCTTTAATGTATTTTACCATATTCTGCAATAAAACTATGTTTTTAAATATTTGGTACAAAATAAAAACATTGTTTACAGTTTCAAATCTTTTTTCAAAATGGTGGTAAGTATATAAACAATCACATATTCTTACCTGGGAGTGCTCGAATACAGTTGAAAGAATATGCAGACGCTTGACTTTGAATAGTTTCAATCATACAGTTGCCATTTGAGTTCCTCAATCACTTTCTCTCCTATACCAGAAGGAATCACATATAACTAAAAATAAAATTAAAATTGGACTGAGTAGAATTAATCAATAATTACATTTATGTGTATTTTAATTCAGAGCTTACGGTACATATTCTAAAATTCTAAGTATGTTTCTTGTGAAAGTTCAAGAAAATTACCTAATAAAAAAAGTGGTAAAGCATGTAATTTTTTGGAAAAGATAAAGTTGCTAAATAAGATCAAATACCAAAATTGCTAGATAGTAAGTTAAGTGTTTTAACTCATGGATATCCTACTACGAAAGCACAGTGATGGCTGGTTGACAATACACCCCTTCCCCCTACAGCTAGCCCCTGCTATCTCCTCCAGTCAGCAGCTAATTAAACCAACCAAGTGCATACTCCGTCCCTGATTAAGAAGATGAAACAGAATTTTAGAAAGCACTGATATATTTTAACTTTCATTCCACTTCCACTGCTAAGGAGAAAGCATTTAGGTAACTTATCCTTCTATTCATTCTCATGCTATATGTGGCTGATTAAGATTTTTACATTTTTTATTCCAGCAGATGAAAGGAAAAAGCCTTTCCAGATGCAACACAAATTATGCCTTCCCTTAATTTGGTCACTTCAAATGTACCTCTGATATAAATTTCAAATACTAGCAGAAATATTCACAGTATAGTATCTCTTCTTGTCAAAATAGCTGTTTTTTCTGTTTTGTTTTGGCAAAAATACAAAAATGTATCTCACTCTTTTGTTCTGCTTCCCTCCATAACTTTAATATAGACTGTTGGTAAAGCCAGATCTATATTTTTGACTTTCTCAAATTATAGACTAAAATCAGATCTCAAATATTTTATTTCTGCCTCTTTGTGTCTTAGCCATGTGAATATTCTGAACACTACCTTTTTCCCTCTTAGCTACAATTTTCTTTAGAAGTCTGTCTATTTTTTCATGCTATTCCGGTTCATTTTCTAACAAAACTTTAGAAAGAAAAGAAAGGATCTTCGTTTAGGTGGCCCCAGAGGCAAAGTCTGACGTAATAATTCAAGTAAATAAGTTTGTTTGGGAGACACTAAAGGAAAGGGTTTACAGACAGATCATCAACAACATCTACCACAACAGACAATGACTGTAAAATTTGAATTAAAATATGAGCATGGTTTATTGTAAGGCCATATACGGGTATTTTATAATTTTAGTGAAAAAAAGTTTATCTACCCAGTGATGCCTATTATTTATTAAATCACATGGTACTCTTTTAGCGTTTACTGAATCTTAGGGTATATATATGATATAATTCATTTTCTCGTTCCTCAAAATGTAAAGGCTCCATTACCACATACCTCCAGCTTTAGAATTCAAACATGACACAGCTAAAAGGTAACCGTGAAACTATGTCATGATTTCCAAAGTGACTAACTAGATCATTTTTCTGTTTTGTCTTAGGGAGAAGGGAGAAAAGGAGAGACAAAATTAGTTCTTTTTTAACATAATGATAATTTCTCTATTTTGTGCAAATATTGGTCTTATGAAAATAAATAAGAAAGAAATCCCCTAAGATAACATAAGTAACAAGACTATTCCAAAAAAATCCCATTCCAAAATATTATAGGAAAGTAAATATTTTCCTTAAAGTGGTTAATTCAATTTAACATCCCCACAGTTTGTATTTCTATCTCAGATTGACTGAAATCCAGTCTTACTGAGAAAATGTTTTCAGCCTAGAATATATTATGCAATGTGACAGAATAAAGAAGAGCACGAAAATATCCACATTAAAAAACAAGAATGAACTTGTGCCTACTTCTAGCTTTCTTCTTGCAAGAAAATGACATATACTCTGAAGTGGACTGTCCCATGTCTGATATGATTAAATTTGTGCAGATAAAGAGTATTTTCAAATATTCTTGCAAAAAATGAGATGTGCTTATGGGTTGTTCTTTTGATTATATTTTTATTTTAAAATATAAAATCTTGTTTCCAACTTGATTCTTAAAATTTTAGTATGAACATAATACACTCAATTTCATCTTATTTTGCCACCATTTATTATATATTGATATGAAATTTGAAGATGTATATGAAATTAAGTGATGCCAGTTATTTCTTTACCAGAACCTTCATTTTTCCCAACAGTGTTAGTTTAAGAAACTAACATGATTAACATTGCAATATGACTACATGCTTCAATCTGTTAATGCAACATGGTATCTTTAAGTATTTCATACACAGTAAAACCAACTAAAACAAACAAGCCAGGCTAAGACATATTTCTTCTTGTCATGAAATGAAATAGAAACCAGCATTATCATGATCTTAAAACTTTTTCAAAATCATTTTGTTACTTATTTTTCTTTTTATAGCTAGCCCCAAGAACTTAGCAATATCCCAAACTAATTTACAAAATGTTGCAAAAGAAAGTTTTCCTAGATACTCATCTTTTATTCTCTCTGGGCAACTAAATTCAAAATATACAAAAGCAGATCTTTGGCCTGTGATTTTCTTTTTCCTCTTTTTTCCTTTGTCCTGTGATTTTAATTAAGTAAATACTGTAATTTTCATTCTAATTATTCAAGCAGAAACCTGGCATTATTATAATCCCTCATTTTCTTTACCCATTGTCATAAAGTTAAATCAGAATAAATTCTATTCTACTTAATATAAAAGACGCCATTTTGTTTCTTCTCCCAGTTTACATCCTCACCAACCCATTAGCAGTCGGCCATGAGCTGACTAACAACTAAGCTGGTCATATCACCCTCTGGACAAAGTCCAAATGACTTAGCATGCGTTAGCATCTTAGTCCAGATGCCTTAGAATCTCTTTTTTTTTAAAAGATTTTATTTATTTATTCACGAGAGACAGAGAGAGAGAGAGAGAGAAGCAGAGGGAGAAACAGGCTCCCAAGGAGCAGGGAGCCCGATGCGGGACTTGATCCCAGGACCCTGGGATCATGACCTGAGCCAAAGGCAGACGCTTAACCATCTGAGCCACCCAGGCGCCCTAGAATCTCTTCTTAATGATGTCTTCTCAAATGCTTTCACTCTAATGCCCCAGGGAAAAGGGTATAAACTGTCACAGTGGCTCGGCGCAATCACTTCCTGTTCATTTTAGTCTTCTCACCAAGGCAGTGGCATACATACATTCATAACTATAGCCCTATGCTCTAAGGAATGTGAAGTTGGAAAATTAATTTAGTTCATCAGACAAATATTCATTGAGCATGTACTGAATACCCAATTGTATCAGTCATTAGGGAGAAGAAATAAGTCCATGGCCACCTTTGCATTCGTCAATTGATAAGGATGATGTAACGGCAAGGTCAAGTGCAGAAGAAACATCGAAATGTTTAGGAAAGTCCCGCTAGAAAAGATGGAATCTGTGAACCTTCAGTTTAGAAGTCATCCGATGAAGAAACTGGGAAAGGCCACAGTTGGCAGAGAGAACATCATAAGCAAAGGCACAGGAATAAGAAACAACATGCCACCTTCAAGGATAGGCAAGCGGTTAGGTATATAGGATTTGAAAAGAGAATGTTCGCAGAATTGTTTTAGAAGAGATTTTAGCAGTAAGGTAAGGCCATATCGGGAAGGTTCTTGAACGCCATGCCGTGAAATTTGGATTTTACCCTAAAGATGGTAGGAGTATGATAAAACAGGAAAGTGGAGCAAGAAGATATGTATTTTAGGAAGATCATGTGGCAAATGTGGCTCTCAGGAGATCATGAAAGAGAGAAGGTGAGATAAGCAAACTGCTCCTTAGAAATCTATGTATATTTGTTAAATGGTAATGCAAAATAGAAATAGACTCTAGGCATTCATATTTGTAAGATGTAAACCTGGAATGGTGCTTGGGATTTAATTCATGTAGGAACAGAGCAAGACCAAGACAACTCTGGCCCTGGGCTTTCCTATTCTCAGAGATGTCAGTCTGGACCAAGAACTCCTACCATCTGTTGTCATTCAATGTGCATGTTAAGTTCCCTTTCCTCAGCTCTCATTATGGAAAGAAAAAAGTGACAGAGGATGACACATGACAAACTATTTCAGAATTAATAACAATTTTAAATTCGCCAATTTAAAAACAAATTCAACCTAGTTCTTTCCTCTGAATTTGACATGAAACTTTTAGAGGTGCTTTCAAGCTGTCACCAGCAGGAAATTTTCCTAATTAGAAGAAGTTGGAGAACAATTATCAAGTCATTCACCCTTTCTGGTGAAATCGGTGGGAAACACAAGTCACTTTCTGTGAAACTTTTGGTTATTATATTTTTCAGCCTAAGTAGGTTAAGGTAGAGCCTTTGTTCTTTTTTAACATTAACTCTTCACAAACTCTGGTCTCTCAAATATTAAGAACCTTTTATGTAAAAAACACAGCCCAGGCAATGAGATGGATCCGAAATGCTGACAACAGGATACAGGTTAAAAATTCATGACTTGAGTTAATGAATGATGTAGGGCAGAGTGAAATTCATCGTACGGTAGAGAAACTTTTTTAATGCAATAGGAATTCGAAGAATAAACTAAATCTGACTAGGGAAAGGGATGGAAATCTTAACAATGTTTGGAGGAATGAGGAAAAAAGAAGAGCAAGAGAGCAACAGGAGACAAAGCTATTCTCCCTGAGTCAGTCATCAAAAGTTCTGGAATTTACTCTGAGCCAGGAAGGTGACATGCACATCCCCAACCAATCACTGGGAGTGCAGAGTCACTGAGTCGCTTTGGCCAACCAGGGTGCATTCCTGGAGATACAGATATGGTCAGTTCTCCTAAATCACATGGCTGCTACACAGGATAAAGGTGATTCCACCAAGGAAATCTAACTTATTATGAATACAGTGGTAGGGAAATTAACAAATAAACACTAACTCTACATCATATGAATTTAGAAAGAAAGACATGAGACATTCCATACACAGCAGTACTCATTGTGCCTGGCACATAAAAATAGGACTCAGTAATTCACAATCATTTTATCACTTCTGCTATCGTTCCATACTTACATATTACAAAGAAAACTGCAATACATATCACATAAATATTT